CACACACACACACACACTACCACATCTCCAGCGTGCAAAAAAGAAAACGAAAAATTGACAGTTGACAAGAATGATTTTCTTGACTCGAGTGACGCACCAACTCAGGCCACGGCCATTTTTAAACAGCTGATAAGAGGCCAGTAGACTGACAATGACATACCAGCTGTTGAAAGATTATCGCTGGAGCGAGCGCACTGAGACAATACTACAATGTATAGGTGCGCACGTGGCAATGTTTGAGAATGTAGTATGAAGCAATAGGTAATTATGTGAGCCTATGAGTGTGTGTGTATGTGTGTGTGTGTGTGTGTGAGAGAGAGAGAGAGAGAGAGAGAGAGAGAGAGAGAGAGAGAGACTTCGTTTTTCCCAAACTACCTCAGCGACTCTTTTTAAAAGAGTAAATCCAATGTAATATTGTGACCTCTTGGCATGTAGCCCTACGTGTTATGCACCCTTGTTAGTTCATGCATCTCTGACATTTGTTCCCTTTTGTTTGCCCGAGTGTTAGGTTAGTCTCGAACTAACCCCAAGTACCCCAGGTTGCTGACACTGACAGATGAGCATTGTGTTTATTGACTGTGATTTTCCTTCGACTTCCTTGTTTGTATTTTCCTAAGACTTGTATAAAAAGCAATTTAAGAGTGAAAATAAAATGCATTTTTTGTATAAATTGGAGTTCTACATTCTTTGTATGAAAACACTGGACTGATAATATTCTGGGGTTGTTTTTTTCGTAAGTGCTATAATAATATGACCTCATTCACAAAATTAAGATTGTTTAAGAGGTGGGCTTCTTAAACTTCCCCTGTCAGAGCCAGAGCCCACTCAGAGACAATTGATAAATACACATGTATAAGATTTCCTCACCCACGAATCCCATCTTCTGTGTGCAAAGAGCAAAATCGTTACACTGTTGTTGCCAGACGACTGAAAGTTTCGTAACACAATACAGTTGAAACTGCTCTAACGACCACTTATGTAAGACAATCACCAGTACAAATGGCCACTTCCTATTTCCTCCCTTGCATATTTCTTATATAAAAATGACTCTGTGTAAGGTGTTCACCTTTTTAAGACAACCACCTTTCTCTCCTTTTCAGACAACCACCTTTCTCTCCTTTTCAGACAACCACCTTTCTCTCCTTTTAAGACAACCACCTTTCTCTCCTTTTAAGACAACCACCTTTCTCTCCTTTTAGGACAACCACCTTTCTCTCCTTTTCAGACAACCACCTTTCTAAACAATGAGTGGCTGTCTTAGACATTTTCGACGCTATTATGACTGTAGTGTACAAACATGTAAAAAAAATCAATTTTGTTCTTATGATATGCAGCTGAAGATGACACAAAGTGTGATTTTAAAAGAAAGCATTTTGAACTGTAATTTTTTTATGTGCCCATTGACACTACTTTAAACATGTAGTGACTCAAGTAGAGGAGGGCTACTTTGACCCTGTCTGACAGGTCCAACCCAGGCTGAGTGGGATACCGCATACAATAATAAAAAAAGTTTTAGTTAGTTTTAGTAGACGTTTTACAGCACTCGCAACTGCATAAGGTCATATGAGCGCCAGAAGATTAGAGGTGTTACAAGAGAGTAACAAACGTAAAAAAGAAGAAGGGGAGATATAAGGACGACAGATGTTCGATAGGAAAGAAGAAGCAAACCACACCAGAGCACCCGCCAACCACCCACTAATAAGAAAAGAAAAAGAATGATTATAACAATAATGATAATAATTGCATTCATATAGCACACATCCATGCTCTACGGTATGCTCTATACTCTATACGTTTTAAAACAATCATTACCCCAGAAGACCCCAGTGCATGTCTCAGAAACATTGTCAGTTACTCAGGAAGCATACAGTGCCAGCTGTGGTAATTGCGATCAACACTAACAAATTGACCAGACCTTTCACAATCTATAGCTGGGTATACATTCCCATCCGAGTGAAGTGAGGAAAATTTGCATGAGGTGCCTTTCTCAAGGATATCATGTTGGTCCCTCGGTTTAACTGGCACGATCACCAGGCAGACCCTTTCTTGGATCCTAGACAGGAGGGAGGAGAAGCTATGGCATTGTGCCTCCTGCAACGATGCCTATTCTCCAACCAAGTAAGCAATGTTTGGTCCCTGACAAAATTTGAACCCATGACCTTACAGTTGAAAGCCCAAGAGCCTAAACACTGGATCACCGATGCCACATCACAAGAGAAAGACGGAAATACTAAATACAAAACTTCCCCGATCGGGAATCGAATTACGGTCTTCAACATGCAACAGCAAAGAGCCTAACCTCAGCGCCAAACACCAGTAAGCATTTTGAGAAGCCTTAGCACTTGATGAACTGATCTTTAAGTTGAAAACAGCTAGCAAGTAATCAACGCACATTAGACATTTTGTAAGTATACAACACATCTACTTCATACAGAACAACTCATGGAACACATCAAGATAGGTTACAAACTGTCTTTTATTTACTGAAACATGCTTTTTTGTTCCTTAACAAAATCATAATGTATTCTCATATGAACAAAGTACAAGTTGTATGCATTGGACAGAAATTGACAAAAATTATACGACCATAATAATAAACAAATAAGTCTAAGAAACTCAACAGTACTTGGTCTTGAGCAGCCCAATATTTAAATATACATGTAGTAGCTAATGGTGAGTCAACACTATTAGAATTAGAGCCTAATGTCACCAAGTACAGATTAGTCATCATAATTGTGTTTGACACAATTTTAAACATTTCCGATGCAGGGTACTTTGAGCCTGCCTGTCAGAGCTGACCACAGCTGACTGGGATGCAACATCTCAACAACAGACAGCAGTACTCCATTAAAAAAACAAAAAATTACTTCTGGATAAGAGCAGACTACAACATGATTGACAAGAAGTTGATAAAGCTGACCCACCCATAAAGTAGTGTAATGTCAGAGAACATGGGGGAAAACCACAGCCATACATTTTGTACAGCCTTTATAACATGGTGCTACAGCAAGGAAGCTCTGTAGCTTTACACTCACAAAATTAAGAATATGCAAGATAAAGTACTAACGTATACTGATGGTGATGTCAGCCAACAGTTTGAATCTGAATACAAGAGAAATAAAGAGCTGTCTGACTTCCCCTTTGTACAGTTTAGTAAATAGACACCAACTGACATAATAATGGCTATTTAGTGAAGGGAAGAAGCAAAAAAGACAGAAATAACCGAGGAAAAGAAAAGGAAGTAGATCCTACCTCCAACCATCAACGTCTGACTCTCTCTTTACTCCCAACAAAAACAGACAGTTCTGTCATGTTTCTATACAATTCTAGAACAAACTTGTGTTTACCCATGGCGAGGGACTGTTCATTCTATGACATGACAAATATCATTAGAAAAATTATCTGACTTAGTCAGTCATTGGGCACCTATAACGTAGAGGAGAACTGGATGCATGCGTTCCCTGTGGCATCAGAAGGCCCTGAGCTAGCTGCTACAACACAGACTTAAACGATACCTCATTCAGTTAACCTTTGGTGACACTGTTCCTAGGGAATAGACAGCCTAATGTCCATCATAACCTTGAATGTTGAGGCAGAGCATAGGTGTAGAAATGCAGAGTGGGTGTGGAACTACTTAGGCTGAGGCAGAGTGCAGGTTGAGCACCTGTAGGGCTTCACTGATGTAGGAACTGGCATCCACTGAGCTCTTGATGCCAACTTGGAAAGCTTTCTGGAGAATAATCGTGGCTTCCTCTGTGGATGATTTTTTTTTTCAAAAAATTTAAAAAGTCTTTCAAAGAGATTTTTTTTGCTATACAGTCAGTTATCATTTCCCTCATACCACAGACAAACATTCCATTGTTCCACAAACAGTTGGTAACATGTATAAAAGCAGCAACTGTGCATGTCACCAAGCCCAGATTTACAGAAAACACACACACACACACACACACACACACACACACACACAAAATATATTGATCTATCCAGCAAGCATCAGTTCTAAAACTACCCAATAGGATACTAAATAACTTGCAGATGTTACAAACAATTCTATGTTCTTAACCCTTGTAAGTAATCATTTAAAAAAGTAAAAATGAGCCATCTTCTGGAAAAGATAATACATTGGACTAGAATTATTTTTTTTACAAAGATTGGAGGTTCCATCCCTTCTAATGGAAGGTAGGATGCTCTGTCCTTGGGTAAAGTACATATTCAAATTTCTGCACCTATCTCAGTTTCAACTGGGTACTTGGCAGTCAGCCGAGCCAAGAAAGTAGAGTGAATAGCAATGTTTGTTTTTGTTTTAGTAGAGGCTTTACAGCGCTCGCAACAGCATAAGGTGACGAGGTCACATGAGCGCCAGAAGATTAGAAGTGTTACAAGACAGTAACAAACATAAAAAAGAAGAAGGGGAAATAACGAAGATAGATGTTTGATAGGAAATTCTACAGGGGAACAAGATGATATCTATTTTTCTCAGCTCGACTCGATTCTGTTAATGTTACCATTATTTACAACAAAACAGAAACAAAACACACGTGGTCCGAAATGGTAGAGAGCATTTCTGGGCTCCTAAAATATGACTTAAAGCGCTCTTCATCTCCCTTTAAGTCAAGAAACAGGGGATAATATTCTCCCCATGTGTCTTTTTTGGCATTTATGGGATGAACCCAGTATTCTTTCTCACCATCAAATACAAGACGGACCACCAAGTTATGAACTGTCTCCGATACAAGCAGCGAGCTAGCAGAGAGAGCTAGTACACACTGCTTTTATATTGCTTTTGGTGAGAACATGCAAGCTGATACTGAGCAGTGCAAGAGCAGCCAGCGAGCTGACTGCTATTGGACAGCTTGCCAAAATAGTGAGCCAACTGCTAGAACTGCTTTTGGTGTGGACAAACCCAAAGACAGGTTGTGGTGTACTGTACATGCATGACAACCTAACATAAAAGTACAAAAGAGTGTCTCACCATGACAAAGGGCTGTAAACTCCCCGAGATTCTTCAAGGCTGAGATGACAATATCAGGATTGTCACATTCAAGACAATCCAGGTAAGTAGCCACATAGTTCCCTGCTTTCCTGCAAAACACAACATTAACATTTAACACACAAAATCTTATACTGACACACATCAAAATGAGAAAATACTATTGTCTGCACCACTGCATAAAAATTGTGAGGTAATATAAACTTTTTGCTACAATGCGTCTTTTATTTTAAAGATATGCTCTGAAAGTTGTCATTTATAGCAGAAAAAAAAAGACAGGAAAATTGGGGTAACAGAATTTGTAAGTACATTAAACATTCATTCACAATTAATCAACCTAATTTTACATGATATGGCCATTATAGTTGTTACTCTGTCACACAAATTATCATCAACATCTCTCAGAATCCACTACCAAAAATAAAATCATTTCTTTTCAGGATACCATTTGAGAAATACAACACAATACTCCATTTCCAATTGAACAAAATTTTGCAGTTTTGCAGATCATATTAAAAAACAAGTAGAGCTTGGCAATTAGTCCTTATCAATCATACATAGGTTCCATATACTTGTAAAATATAATGTTTAACATGTCACAGATAAAAAAGAGACATGTCAGACAAAGCATCACCAATCACAAACATATTTTCAGCTACAACAGTACTTTCTGGGACCCATCCCTTTAATAGCAGTTATTCTTTCACAACTTGAACCAGAATCATATCAGGACCAATAAAATGTTCATTGAGAAATATTTTGCCGCTCTAGGATTCCCACTGACCTTGGATTATACCGAAGAGCTCTCATGACCAAGGTGAAGGCCGTGCCACGACACTGATCATTGATGGACATCATAAGGGACTGAAGCTGGCTCTGCATACAAGACAAATTACAATTATTAGTCTGTATAACATGCACTATCAACAGTTATCTTAAAAATGTAGTGATACAGAACAAAAGTAAACTGTCTTCAAAGTTAACTGAAAATAGTGAAACACAATAATTTTTTGTAAAAGTCCCACAATCAGAAAGATAGTGCAGCAGATGTAGCAATCATTATTAGAAAATACAACACAGCTCTCATGGCTCACCACTTCCTGCTTCAAAACCGCTCCTACTTTTATAACAATCGAATCCGAAATCCCAGGCTGAAGAATGATCATTTTCAGCCACATATTGAGATAGACCATTAGTTCCCCTTTATTTTCATATAAAATACACATCGCAAATATTAAAAACTAAACCTAAAAATCCTTAATTTGTCCAACAGTAGGCAGAAACAGAAAGTAGGTCACAGATGGCACCCGGTCCAGGTGAGGACCCCCCCCCCCCCCCCCCCCACTGTTAGAGAAAGATTTAACAGATGAAAATTCATACAAACAGAAAGATGCATCCAGCAGACAATCAATTCATACACATATCATCTGGCAAGCACATTGACTCAAATTAACTCAAAGAACAGGCTACTAAACAGAAGAAATACAAGATAAAAAGAACATTTTGTTAGGCCATTCCATAAAAACATGAAACACGAGGATGATGTTGACCTGCTAAAAGAAAAATAGAATTAAAGCAGTAATAGTCATTAAAAAAAAATAGATGTAACTTACACAAACAAACTAATGAAATACCAGTGTCACCAACAATGACACATTTTAGCTAGGATAAAAAGAGCTATCCAAAAGTTCTCACCTGAAAAAAGCCCAGGATATCCACTTTGCGCTTTGACATTTCATCCAAATCTCTGAGTGCAATCAAAAGTCCTGAAAAAAAAAAACAGACAGATGAAAATTAAAATAAAGAAATACAAAACATAAAAGGGAAAGGGTGAAAAATTAGCTTCACACTTCTTGGGCTGCATTATAAACAGCATCTGTCCATAACACAGTGAATATATCAATTAGTGGACCTGGCAGCATTAGTATTTACAGGCAAACGTGTCTCAGAGAACAGGACAAAGGGCACTGCATAATACAAGTTAAAGACTTTTCTCCATGGTGCTGTGTCAGTACCCTCCTAGTTTTGTTCGTGCTTACTTGAGAGGATCTACAAGTGGGAAAAAATATTTTCATCTTGCCATTGTGGAACTGAAGCCATAGTTATGGGCAGTTTATTTTTTAAAACATAGTAACATTTTTTTTTTTTTTCCTGTTTCAAGTGTTTCTCCTCCTCCCCAACCCTCTCAAAGTTACTGGTGAATGACACAAGAGAAAATCCTTACTAAAAACAACAGTGTATTACCGCTAACAATTTACATTGGGTGACAAAAACAAAAACAAAACACATTGCGAATAGTTAAAAACAAGCAGCTTTCATTACCCTCAGAGGAATCTGTATTGAACCTCCTCATAAACAGAGCTAGCTGGGCTGCACTGTAGCTGGATGCTGACACCTGCTGATCAGTCGGTGCAGTGACCTTGCCATCCTGTTTCTGGGTCGCACTCGTCTCTGAGTCAGGCTCTGGCTGCCGTGGGAGGGTCAGGCTGGTCAGTAAAGCCTTCAGTTCAAACATGTCGGGGTAGGTGCTGGCCAGTCGACTGAGAACATAGTAGTAGCAAACACTACATACTCAACGATTAATGTGAGGCAGCGTGGTGAAATCAGACACTCGTCAAAATAATCAAATTGAAGAAACAGACATTTTCCACAGGTTTGTGAATTTTTATCGAATTTTTGTTTTTTGGCTCAACACCTTTCATGCTCATTAAAGAACACATTTCTGTGTGGATTTTACTGAAAAACGTTGATTAAAGGCACAAAAAATGTAAATTTTCAGTTTCCACAGAGTTTCAAGCTTAGGAAATAACTCATCTTTGGCGGCATTTTCTCACTAATTTTACCTCTGAAACCAGGTGAACCCTCACCCCCTTCAGTCGCAAATATCTCGACTTCTATTCAACATAAATGAATATCCCCCCCCCCCCCCCCAAAAGCAAGGCAAATGAAGAGGCTTTATGATGATACCAATAACTCCACATGCCCAAAAATTGACAAGCGCCTGATTCCACCACGCCGTGACACAAATTATTTGACTTGACTGATGATCTCTCATTTAATACTGACAGCAACCCCCCCTCCAAATGAATCAAATAAATAAATTGACAGACAGACAAGCTAGTGGATAGACATGTAGACGGATAAACAATATAGGCAGAAAGTTGCACCCAACCGACAGTCATCATAGATGTCATAAGGTGGTCTCATATATATATTGGTTGGACCGGTGAAGGAAAACAGAATTGGGAGTAACAGGACTGTAGAAACGTCATAAACAGGACAAAACAGTGACAATGAAATGACACAGGGTGTCCCTTCTTTCAACACTTAACAATGGTTATTCAGCTCCGACACATGTTCCTCTCAAGAAATGAAAACAGAATGCCAGTGATCTCTTTTTTAGCATTACAAAGCTCACTATTTCAGAAATCTTTTGACAGAAACAAGGTGCCTTTTGGTCAGGTTGAACTCAGGTGCTGTATACTTTACTGGCCCGTTCGGCTAGCTGAGTTGTACAACAGTGCTGCATTTTTTTACTGGCCCGATTCGGCCGAGTTAAACACAAGCAATACAATTTGGTCAATTGATACATCCCAGAAGGAGACCACCCACCTGATAAGAGACAGCTGCTGCTGTAGAACAGGGAACGCTCGCCGGTGCTGCTGGGACAGGAAGTTCTGCAGGACACACACCAGTTTGTGCACCACGGGACCCAGTGCTTTCTGCTCATGGCCATGGTTCTAGGGATGTGACAGGAAGGAAAAAAAGGAGGAATTATGGTATGTTATGGTACAGTATAGAATGGGGTTGTATGGCCCTGGTTCTATAGATGTAAGGGGAAGGAAAAAAAGCTCCCTGAATCAACATACCTTCAAGAAGTAAAAAAACACACCAAAAAAAGCGTTTTTTTAGTAAGTGTTTTACAGCACTTGCAACACAATAAGGTAATATAAGTGCCGAAAATTAGTGGTGTTACAAGAGAGTAACAAAGATAAAAGAAGGAGGGGAGATAAAGACCATAGATGTTTGATAGGAAAGAAGAAGCAAACCACACCAGAGCACCCGCCAACCACCCACCCACACACATAAAAAAGGAAGGAAAAAAAGAAAAGAAAAAGAGTACTCAAACATATTAAGAGTACAAAGAAAGAGATATTCACAACCTTCATACATTATTGTTAAAATATAAAACAAAAAAAAAGAAAATATCATTTGGACAGACAGTCATAATTAACAGGGACTGAGCATCTTTATCTAAATTCACTTTCAAAAAATCTTTTGAGGAACTTTCCAAAACTGAAATCACATAGACAAAACAGATCAACAAAAGGCAGACAGAAACAAGAGGGAGTGAAAAGAGACCACGAGTCATGGCAACACCACAAAATTTTGAGGCAGGAAGACAAAAGGATAATTATCAGAGCCACATTCAGTGGGTGCACAAGTTAGACATTATCGATCAAAGCTGCAGTTTATCATGAGTCAGAATTATCATGCGCACCTTTTATGAGGAACAAACAATAGTGCCACTGTAAAGAAGCAGAAAGAGTAGATCATATTTAAACATTATCCCATTCACTAACCATCTGCACAAAATAAGGAATGCCTGTGCCTCTGAACCAACCTACCTTCAAAAGGTCAAAGAACGCATCGAGCACATCAGTGAAGCCAGTGTGCTCTGGTTGGAACACATGTGGTTGTAACAGCTCCACCAGGCCGAGCACGTGTGTAAACAGCTGAAACTGCTGATTGTGCCGCATGGCGCCCAGGGAGTACTCACTCTGACCTGACAGGATAGCAGCCATCAGGGGCAGTTGCCTGCATTGGGAGAACAAAGATAAAAACTTTTCTTAAACATATTTTGTGCCTTTAATCAACGTTTACCAGTAAAATTCAGACGGAAATGTATTATTATATAAATATTAAAGGTGTCAAGCCAGAAAACAAAAATTTGATAAAGCTTGCCAAACTACCTGAAAAATGCCTGTGGTTTTTTTCAATTTCATTATTTCAACTAGTGCCTGATTTCACAACAATGCCTCACTTAAAAGAAAAACTTCATACATGATTAAATCTAAAAAATAATATAAGCAAAAACAAATATTCTACTCTTCAAACTTTTGTTAAAATTCTTCAACACATACACCATTTGATAATACTCTGCAACCATAATTATTTACCTTAGTAACCTAAACATAACAAATCTAGCAAAAAACCCTTGGTACCTTAAGAATATATCTGGATGATGTGCAGCCATTTTCCGACAAGCAATGTTGGCATCATACATCTTGGCCCCTGCCTGTTTCCCTGGCTTTGCCTGACCCAAGCTAGTGATCAGCCGATGAGATAAAATGTCCATCTGAAGAGCAAAAACATAGTTATAAAGTTATATATTACTAAAATACATCATAACAAAATTAGGGAAATAACATGTGGTTGAAAAGATTAAATAATCCTTATGAGAAAGATAGTATTAAAGCTGCCACATTATCAGAGAGAGAGAGAGACAGAGAGAGAGAGAGAGAGACAGAGAGAGAGAGGGGGGGGGGATGGTGAGAGGGGAAGGAGAGACTTCCCTCATTGCTGTACGTGGAAATCATAATTTGGAAAAGCTCAATATTGCTATGCATGGACTGCAATTTTTTTTTTACGAAAGCTTAAGACAGTTTGTTCAAACTGTTCTTGTATTAGCATTAGCATACCTGGGACTGTACTTGTTGTGAAGCCATCAGCTCTGACATAAGCAGGTTGTCCTCTGTCAGCCAGGCCTGGATGTAGGGAAACTGCAGGTACAGGCTGGTGGCCAGGCTCACAGCACACTGTCTCTTTAACCTGTAAGTAATTCCACGACACAGGGGAAAAGTGGTTATTGTATTGTTCTTTACAGGAGTCAACCACAAAACAGCTGAATAAAAAGCCTTGACACATATATCCACACTGGATATTTCGGGCATTAAAGTGAATGCAGTAAATCATGCAACTATTACCGAATGGCATCATGCAGAAGAGTTAACGCTCAGATGCTACTGGATCGCTAACAACAACAGCAGTAAACCTGCACTTATCACTACATGGCATTGAACAGAAGACCAAGAGCCCAACTGTTGCTGGATCAATAAAAACATCAAGGTCAACAAAAACAATAATAGTAATAGATAACATTTGTATAGTGCAAATTCCTGCTCAACAGCAAACTCTATGTGCTTTAGAATCAATATCTGGCCATTTCAGGCAAAGGCCGTTTTTTTCTTCAACACTTTAGAGGAGTGAGTAAAGACCCTTTGATCAGACGACACTCACCCAACAGCTTCGGAGAAGAGTTTCTGCAGGCGGCTCACCACGGCCAGTACCCGCTCCAGGTCATCGCTCAAACAGGACAGCAGTAGGTCAACGCGACCCTTCATGATGGTCACCTGGCCATCAGCCGACAGCTCAGGGTCGCGATCTCTGACCTGGAGTAGGGCCTCCTCCAAGATGAGGTCAGCCAGAGAGGCCACCTGCTCATTGCTGAGACCAAGCACGTCCTCCTTCTGCTCCACCTGGTGGAAAAAGGGACATCATACTGTTAACACTTGAGTTTCCCATCTCATGGTCAACTGCACTTCTTAGATATACAATCAGACCTGTCCAAGACAACCACCCTTTGTCGAGGTAGACAGTTGTCATCTTAGAAAAGTGGTCCTCTTGGACAGTGTCATTATGAAATGTACAAACATGTAAGAGGGGGAAAGTGGGAAGTGGTTGTTTGTCCAGGTGATTGTCTTGGTAACATGGTCGTTAGAGTACGTTTGACTGCACTTATATTAACGTCAGTCGTATCTTTGTAAGATCCATTCAGGCTCTCTTTATAGAGGCCTGTAAGAGGGTTGGTAATTCATTGAATTCAAGCACATTCATGAATTAAACACCTCCACCCTGACAAAAAATCTATGCGCACTACAATGTTGACCAGCAAAAGCAGGCTGCTGTTTGACTGCCATGAAGTATCATGTTGATTGTAAGGCTTGTCATGAACAAACGGTAAGGAGACCAATAAACTTTGTAATCTCCCACTTTCAGCACCACTAAAACCCACAGATAAGACAAAAAGGCCTACTACCTCCATGACATGCACCACGATATATAAAGACAGTAGCGCTGGTGTACTACAAATGAGTCAAATGGGGGAGCAAAAAGAGATCACATTTGCTTATGATTATGGTTTTCTTATTGCCCAAATAAGGCTTGAAGACAATAGGGGGCTGCGATAAAATTTGTCAAGGTGTGACGTCAAAACCAACACTGTGTTAAAATAAGCACATAAATAAAATATTATGTGTGGAGGGTGACTAAACACAACAAAGGGCAAGTCGCAGAAAACGATACTTTTTTTCGCTGTTCAAAAATAAATTGAGGAAAGAATACCCAAGTAAAAAGCAATAACAACAGCATGCACTGACCTCTGGTGTGATCTTCTCCCGGCCCTGCCAGATCTTGGGAATATGCTCACAAGCCCACACAAAATCCAGCACAGCCGTCGGCTCCAGTCTAGTTAACAAAAATACGAAACAAAAAAAACGTAAATTTTAAAAAGACAAAGATAAAGCCAAGTATTAAACAAACTCTTTACTATTTGGGGAAAAAAAAGATTCAGAGTGAGAAGAAAGTATTTGAAGGAACCTATACGGATGTTATCTCGTGCCACCACGCATATCTCCGAGTACATATAAGAAAAGAGAAGCATATCCTTATGATAGACCTGCATGTGAGCCTCAACCAGATTGTCTGAAAATTTTGCGCAACCCCCCCCCCCCCCCAAAAAAAAAGCCTTTGTGGGTGTCATAAGGAAGGACATCCGAGTAACGAGCGACCACCCCAACAAACACAATCAATAAAGAAGAGACCTAACCCTACCCCCAAAAAGAACCTGCAACGGGCCTCATGTAAAAAGGCCAAAACAAGTCCTAAATGAAAAAAAAAATGTTTAATTAAAAAACCACACTCCAAAACAAACAAGGAGCATAGATCTAGATTCTAGATCTATATGGCTTACATCTACATTGCTATAACTATAGGGTTTGATACAATAACACAATAGAATTGGAATATGAATCCTCCATCTATCTAGATCTAGTAATCTAAATAAATCTAGATCTAGATCTAGATCTTCTAGAACAAGTGAATAGGAATAGGCTTTGAACTAGAAATCCGCATCCGATTCCGAAAAGAGGGACTCAGCTGAGTCTAAATAAATAAATAATTCACGCACCTGATGAAATGCTTATTTTTACCAATATTAATATTGCAGCACAACCTATGATAGGGTTTGACACAATAGAATTGGAATCTGAATCCTCCATTGAGGTCTATAATGATCTAGATCTATATAAATCTAGATTCTAGATCTATATTCTATTAGAACAAGAGAGTCGGACTTGAATGAATCCACACGATCTGAACAATTGAATTAGTCAACAAACGAAATTCAAAATGGCCGCTCGGGCACGAAACTGAAAGTAGATAATTCAAGTTGTCCTCCTTTTTCGTATTCGCATTTCTACTTAGGTTCCGACAATTATGTCGGAAACGCCGACGTCGGCAGTCGGCGGTGCGCGCGTCGGCGGTCGGCACGAAAACGAAAGTGCCGACGAAGCCGACGGGAGAAAAAGGGGTCGCTGGCAGTAGGCCAAGCCTCGCACTACGCACATTGACTGATACAGGCGGGCCTAGCGATAGCATCGGCCGGTTCGCGGGTCGGGTCGCGATTGTCGGATTTCAGACGATTGTCGGCAAACATGCAGGTCTATTATGATAGCAGCAATCTAGTGCAGAAGAAAAAGTTTTAGTTTAGTATGGGGTTTTACAGAGCTCGCAACTGCAGCAGAAAAAGCAAGATTGACAGACAGAAACCGGAAGAGGAAAAAAAGAGGATCTACTAGTGGCACTCTCCAGCCACCCACCAACATACATAATATATCAAAGCAAATGTAAACCAGCACATGTGTGCGTGAGAGTGTGCATGTGTATAAGAGTGTGTGTGTGTGTGTGTGTGTGTGTGTGTGTGTGTGTGTGTGTGTGTGTGATTGAATACTGTTCGTACATGCATTTATGTAAAGCGCCTAGAGCTGTGTTCACACATTAGTGGGCGCTACAGAAATGTTCTTCATTATTATTATTATTATTATAAAATAAAAGCCCTGAGAGAGCAATGGCGTACTGTGAGATCCGGTCTGGCCGCAGCAGTCGGGCCAAGCACTGGGTCAGTGTGCGCCACGAGGTCTGGTGGGTGAGCAGGGCTAGGAGGTGGGCCTGGGACGGGCCTTGTGTCCCACTTCCAGAGGCTGGGGCTTTCCTCCCTGAGGCTGGACACATTTTTTTTTTAATTAATCCATTGATTCGTTGTTTTGTTTTAGTAGAGGTTTTACGGCGCTCGCAACTGCATAAGGTCATATGAGCGCCAAGGGGTGGATGTCAACAGAGAAGTCCTTACAGGGAATCAGACTTACTCTGCCGACCTCTCTGGCTTCAACAGCACAAAGTCTGCTTCGACTATCAAGGCACCCCGGAAATAGCGGGTCACAAATGTGTGACAAACATACAAAAGAAGTAGAAGAAAAATTACGATAATACGAATTAGGAGAGAAAAAGCAGCAGTTCAGGCACAGTTATGAGTATGACATTGATGAATCAGCCCATTTACAATTAAAATTCTACTGTGCATAAGAGCTCGAGATGTTAATGTCCCCTCCCTTTGGGTATGGCCTAAAGACACTTCAGTAGGTAGCACTGCCCCCGGGGGTGATCCATTGATTAAATCAAAAGAATACAAATAACAAGAAAAAAGCATTTACAAAATCTCTTAATCAAACAAATGACAAGCCTGACAGCCAACAATTCTTTATGGAGTAGACAATACATTTGTACCTAACATTGAAATAAGACTTAAAGCTCAATAAAGATTATGTCCAAGGCATTTCTGTAAATGGATGAAAATAGGAAAAGTACCACCTTAAAGCTTTTAAGAAATTAAAACAGATAACAACTATTAATCCTGCCAATATCTGTGTCTGTTACCACCTGAATATGGCAATGGATTGAAAAGAAAATACCTTTAAGTCAGTGCATTGATAGCAACAGTAACTATAACAATGTTTTCGGTTTCCAAAGTCAACAAAGGAGCGATAAATCCCGTTGACTTATGTCAAAATCTGACCAGTCAAATATGCACTGAATAAAATCAAAAATATGCTCAATTTCATTTTTCTGTTCTTTTTTTCATTTTAAATGTACCTCTTCTGAAATTACCTTATATTTAGTATGAAGTAAAACTCAAAACCTTATAAAAGCTAAAGAGGGGAAAGCCTCCCACCTGAGCCCGTGTCCTGTCTGACCACGCTGCGCGCAAACAGCAACTTCTGCTCCAGCTCGGGGTTAGCCTGGATGATCTCTGGATCCAGCATGGAGAGCCAGTCAATGAACAGAGCAGCTGTACTGTTGGGCATGGGGGACCTGGAACCAAAGGATGGATAAAAAACAGATGACAGTAACAAACGGGTGTGCACTATAATCCAGAGCATCATCTAGTCCACAAATCATGGTCCCAGATGACATTACACAACCAGTCAATGGCTAAATCACACAGCAGGTCGTGTAGAAATGTAAATCTTGTCTTACTTAAGCCTACAAAAAGAAAACGACACCTGTGGAAAGCTTACCCCGAATCTTGAGCCAGAACATGACAGGCCAGCCGAGTCCCATCAAGAGATCTCCCCTGGGCCAGCAGCGACTCCATCAGTCTGTGGATCACACTCTCCAGTCGCTCCGGATTTTTCAGCTTGCTCAAGTCTACATCAACAACAGGGTGTCACCCAAGAGGAAAGACAGACAAACAAAAGTTTATTCCTTCACTCAAAAGGTTTGATGAGCACAATAAACAGAAACCAGACATTCCTATAGACCCTAAAGAGATGGAAAAGATCGTAATGTCACATGTATATGTGTTGTTACTGCTCAAAATGAGATAAAAATCAGAAGTTATGACCAGACTGATCTGCCTCCACTCTATAAGCTTAAATAAGAATGTTGTATTTAGGAAAGAAAACCATTTAATAAGATTTCTTTTTGTGATAAAACTGCAATAGATTTGCACCTAGTCAAGGAGGGCAGGGGAGCTGATCTCGACTTATCTGAATTCTTTCATGCCATAGAAGCCATGATAAGCTGTGCCTCAACAGTCCTCAAAGGACCCCTTTGCTTCTACTACTCTAACTCAACTAAAGTACCTTACATCATTGTCTATGGGATGCATGCATAGATAAAAGGCAGGTAGACTTGAGAGCCAAATATTGGTATAAATTAAAATATATTCATCGGATAAGATGCGCTGACTTTTTCATGGAAAGCACCGTCACTTTTGTTAGTGGACTTTTCATTAATAAAGACACTTCAAAACAAAACAAAAATTTGTTTTAACTTAACTATTTTTCCTCAGCAGTCTTAGGTCTAGATCTAGCGTGCAACAAGGAGCAGCCATTTTGTTTCACAGTGATGCTGTTCAGTATTTTGCATCTTATAGATAAGACGCAGGCGATTTTAGAGCCCTGATTTATTCAGTAAAAAGCTGCCTCCTATAATATGCGATGATAAATGGCAGTTACCAATCACATGCTATTTGAACTCCATGAACCCAATGATAAAATTTTGAAAATTAAAAAAAAAATTTAGACCCACTGCCCTGATGAGTAACCCTTACAGAAAACACTTGTCACTACTTCGCACCTTCTAACAGCATGTTGGAGTCCAGTCCTCCGTGCAAGGTGCAGCGGGCCAACAGATTCTCTGCCTGGCGGGCAGCGGTCAGCTTGGTGGGCTGGCGGGCAGAACCTTGGGCAGTCAGGAACTGTGTGACCACAGCCGTCAGCATAGACTTCTGGCCCTTGGCAAGGCTGTGTAGTTTCTCCATCACAGGAAGCAGCTCTGCATGCAGATCCGGCTGTTAGATGGTAAAAAAAGAGGTTTTAAGTATACAGTAGAGTCCACGAATCCTGAGTAAGAAAATCACAAATTCTCAGGTGTCAAAATGATAATGCCCAGTCCCGTTTCGGTCCCTATGTTTTCTTTGTATTGACTTTACGAAGTTCCAAAACACTCGGAACACTCAACACTCAAATGTCGAACAAATCCACTTCGCATTCTTAACTTTACAGCTTTTCTGGCTGTGGGAAGGGGTTTCTTTGTAATTGTTACAACAGCCAAAACGTGGTCTTTGTCTCACCACGAGAGGCTGGAGGAAGGGAGGACGAGGAAGGGGGTTTGGGGAGTGATGCTGACCGCACCGCATGACTGGCTCGCCACACGTGCATTAATGCTGTGGGACGCCCACTGTGCGGATGGCAAGAGGCGTAACTTTCTGTAAGGAATGACGTAGGAATCGGCTGTGCACAGGTGAGATTTTCTGCTTTCCACTTTCATTCATCTTCTTGCTTTCACACGGTCAACTTGTTCATCAAGGGAGTCAACTACATTAATTATTTTAATGTTCTTTTTTACTTCCCTTGATTTTCTTTCTATTTCTTTGTATTAGGGACTTTCACAGACATGACGAATTACGGAAATCTCGAACAGTATTTCCAATCTCCGACGAATTCGAGTTACCCATGTTTGACTGTATATTTTCTTATATTTCACAGATGTATTTAGTCCATCATCATCATCATAAAGTGCTAGGTCTGCGACAGATATCGGCCATAATAGTTCTTAATTGGTCGCTTTTAAGGACAAGCGGGCTAACCTAGATTTTGGAGGTTTCAAGAAATCTTGACCAAAACAAAAAATGGGCATTGGAGAAGTGTGGTTTCATAGGTGAGTATATTTGCTTGGTTATAGAAAAAACTCTCCTTGTCTTTTAATGAAACTGAGCAAGGGGCAAAAACTTTACTTTCGATTTTCTCAAAACCTAATTTTTCGGGATAGCCCACTTGTCCTTAAAAGCGACCAATTCATTCCTTTGGTCAGATGCTCTCAAAAAAGCAACAATATCCTGATCTTTATGCATACTTAATCAAGGAAATTTAAAGGAAAATACAGGGAAACCCCTTCTAAAAAATGTTGTACAGTTGCAGTGCATGTTGAGCCAGACCCGTAACTCACTCTTGACAAATATATAAAAATAACATTAACAATGAGAAGGAAAAAAATAATCCAACAACTTGAGAGCATGCAGAGTGATCAAATTCTTGGAAAAACGAATTAGAAAGAGCAGCACTATTATAAAGAAAGAAGCTAAAACTATTTGTAAAACCCTCATCTCTCCATTAAAAAAATGAAATAAAAACAGCCTCAGGAGGTTCCAAAGACAAGATGACACTTTATGGTCTCAAGCTCTCCAGCTTACAAAGAACCCACATCACAACAAAAAGTATGAGTGGCTCTGAAACAGCAGACAAAGACACAAAAAGGACCACAGTCAAGCAATAAGAATACAATTGTGAAACTGCCATAAAAATTCACTTACCTGCTTTGCGATTAAAATCTTGAATATAGGGCATGATCTGTATGTAGCATTGAATACCTTCTTGGCAAAAACTTCTTTTTTAGAGGAACTCAGCATCTGAAAAAAACAAAAAAACAATGAAAAGGCCTGTTCATTGAATTTCGTGTCTCATTTCTGCAGGGGGACAAATAATGCTGCCCCTGAGACCAATTCCACTATCATTCACACTCTGTCTCGGCCAACGACTAAGTACCGTTAAGTTACAACCTATGGCTGACACTTCTCCTGCATGACCATTGGTACTCTCTGTTCTTTCTTGAAAGGTGCCTTTCTAAGGTACTCACCATTCACTATACGAAAAGCAGTTGCATTATACAAAACGTTCCCATATATATATGAGTGCATTAGTTGAACTTACATGGTCAAATGCTTTGAGAATAGTTGATGTCTTTGTCTTGTCTGTTGAAACAGTCTGCATGGGAAAAGAAACAAAAGCAATATCCATCAATAAATCGACGGTAGCATTACCAAAAACCAAATCAAACAAATCAAGGTTGGAGTATGCAATCCAAGTAACTCTAAAAATAGTAACACAATATTTTACAACTAATTTCAAAATTTGAAAAAACCTTCACACAACATGGAAGAGTTCAATCAGTGACACGGATGTGGTACAAAAGAAAGATCTGTGACCAGAAAGTTACTTTTTTTTTAAAGATATGAATCTGCACACTAATTCGAGATGGAGGCTACCGCAGAGAATTTCCTTTTATTTGAATAGTTAAATAGTAGAACTCATAAACACCATAGTTTCCTTTTCTTTTTCTGCAACATCATCTCTTTTTCACAGCAAGGCTTAAAAGTTAGAGTGAACAAGAGAAAAGTTTTAGAGAGTGGATCAAAGATCTCATTTCATCAGAATTCCTATATTGTGAGGAGCAGTTCCCAAGTCTGAAAACATACACATACAATGTGAAACACACCTGAATCAAGCACTGGAACATTTTTGCAGCATCACTTTCCAGTCCTCCAGTATCAGAAAAAACCTGGACAACAAACATAACAGGCACCGATTATTGACACAAAGAATTTTCATAATAGTATCTATTTTTTTTAAAGGCAAAACAATTGTCGGTCAGCTGTTCAGTTGTCGGTCAGCTGTTCAGATGTACAAAGCCAAAATTTCACATTTAGTTAAATTGTAATTTCTTCATTTGTGGTATTGACTTCGTGGGCTTCATGTGCTCAAGAAATATTTTGACAAAAAATCAGATTTAAAACTTTGACAACAGAAAGAAAAGATGATACATAATGGAGGTACAATGGTTAAAAGAACGAATTAGTTTTTCAACCTCCAGAAAGATTTCGCTTTCTGGGCTCAGCACATTTGAAGAGCTTGCCAACAATATGATGTAATCAAAATCTTTCTCCATGACCTGACCAATTAAAAGTGAATATACAAAAATAGATAAGAAAGAACGCTTGAGGATACAGCTCTTCAATAAAGTTTTGATGAATAAACAGTTATCCACTTGATTATATGAACCAGAGGTCTAAGACTTATTAAAAGAATAACTAAAGTGGAGGGCAATGGAAACAAATATTTGATGACCATAAGTACTGATCACTTTCCATTATATTGCTTACTTCTATACAACGTAATATTGAAGCAACACTTTAAAATATTCTTCAACACTATAATTAGAAAGAGTAGTAATACCTATCACTGAAACATTATGATACTCTGTACTACAAATTACAAGCAAGGCTATCTTTTGCAACATAGTACTGGGGTTTTTTTCCTTTCGAGAAAAAAGCAATAATAGACTCCTTGGCATGTCAAAGTCATACCTGATCCAAAAGACGAGATATTTTATCTGCTGAAGTCGGCAGGATGACTTCCCCGGATCCTTTCACATTCCATACATCTTGTTGCGGCATCTCTTCTTCAGTCCTTTTTTCAGCTGGAAAAAAAGAAGAAAAAAAAAGTGTCTGTAACACAACACCAAAAGAGTCACTTTTCATTTCTTTGACCATATAAAACTATAGCGCTCAAAGAAAGGCATCTGTGTACTCTACAAAGAGGACAGGAAAATTATCTCTGTATTTTACTTATCATTAAATTATTCAGAAACACAGTAAAAGAGGAAGAAAGGTTGATGACTCTGATAAATGCGAAACAAGTTATTACATCACCCTGCACACTGGATTTAATGGTAAAAAAAACTGACAATGACCCTCTTCCTGCACAGCAGTTTCACGGACTTTCATCGTAACGTTTTCATCCTTCAGCATTACCATTCCCTAACTGACCCCAAATCCAACTATGTCTCTCTCCCTGTACCTCAAACAATAAACTAAGTACACCCCCTTCGCCCCCACCCCACTTTTAAACCACAGTACATTAAATATACATATAAAATCAAACTAGAACTTCCTTCAGGACATAGAGATGGGTGGGCGCAAAGTTTAAAGAATTAAAAAACACCCTAGTTTGAGCTTTTCACCCCTTCCGATAGTTTTAAAACAACAAAAGCCCATATCTGAGATTGAACCTCCAAATGAACATCCAGCTGCAATAGGAAAATAAAGCCATATTAACTCTTTCCATACCCAGCCCCAGTTTCAAAGCTCTGTCGGGGGGCTCTCATGGTTGAGAGGTTACGCTGTTCGCCTCTCATTCAATAGGTCCCGAGTTCCAATCCGGACAGTGGCAACGGAAAATTTTCTCCTTTCACCTCTTTTCCTGCTCTATAACAAAGTTCTGTGGTCTGCTTTCATCTCCAATTTCTGCCCCCCCCCCTCCTCTCCTCTGGGCTCCCGACTCTTTCCTCAGCCTTTCTCGCTAACCACTGACCTGTCTCAGCAGGAGCCTGCCTGCCCTGTGTGATGGCGCTGTAGAACACGTGGCCGCCCGTGGCCCCCCGGCTGTGCTGCACCTCTACCAGCTTGGCCATGTACGGCAAGCTCTGGATGGCCTCCAACACCTGGGAAGGGTCAGAGGTCAGGGCCTGGTCCAGGGCCGCTAGCAGCCGAGACATGCTGAGAACTGGGATGCCAAATGACTGCATGAACAGAACCAGCTGGGAGGGCTCCACTTCCGCCATGGCTGAGGGAGTGGGAACAAGCATGTATGAGCACTTGGGTGAGTGTGTGTGTGTTTGAGTGTGCATGTGTGTATTTGCATATGTTGGGTATGAGTGGGCATTAACGGATAAAGACAAAAATGAACATAAATCAAGATACTAAAAAAACACACATTAGGGGCAATCCATTTCTAGAGACGCTGATAAAGAGAAAAAATTGCAACTTACCTAACTCTTTAAACCCCATCGGATACTAGTGACAACTGTTTCGTTTCATTTAGTGTCAGTTATTGCTTGTTTTTCGGAACTATTCCCGTTTTTTAGTTTTGATTAAGCCTTTGTTTCCACCACTTAGAAGTTGGAGGCAAGCTTTTGGGGACATAGTGCACCAGGTGTGGTGACCGTAAGAAAAACTCCAGGAAACGGTGAAACAAACTCAGGGTTTAAGGAGTTAAGAGGCTACCAGTAAACTGTAAAGAAATGGTAGCAAATATTTCTCATTGATTAAATTATCTTTTTTGAAGGATTGAGAAGAGAAGTTAAAAAGAATTTGAATATCCTCACAGCCTCTTTCTGAACACACCTGAGCCAGCCCCAAAAGACACTAAACGACATGAGCAATCTTCCAAAACAGTACACCAGGTTCTGGTAAACATACTGAACTCTACACCACACAGCCCATAGCAACCAGTTTCAGTTTCTTTGACCAGACTCGTAATCATGAGGGTGTGGGTTAAGGCCTCGGGCCCAACGTTGAGTCAGGAAAGGCACTTTACGCAAATTTTCCTACTTCATCAAGGTGGGAAAGGGAACCCAGCCATAGACAGCGAAAGATCTGGTCAGCACGTTAATGTTTTAGCACCTATAAAATGGCAGCTTGCGCCATATGCTTCCAAGGAAGTTGAGATTGTTTAAGAATGCCATCAGGTCTGCTAGGGTAATAATATAGACTGTAAAGGACATAGAGCTTGGTGTTGAAAGGGAATTTGCGTAGTTCAAAAGCTAAATATTATTATCATTATTATTACCTTACCTGCACTTATCAGCCCTTCATCATGGGACCTCAGCATTCTCAGCTTCAGCCAGTCAGGAAGTAGGAGGGCTTCTTCAGAGGTGTCCAGTAAGAAGCCGGGTGGCATGCGGTTGTTTTCCTGAATCCAAATGTTGTACAACTCTTTGAAATTCTTTACATCTTTGTCACTGGAGTCCCCTGAAATGATTGCATACAACACACATTCAAACCAGAAGAGTTCAGTTGTTTAGAATCAAATCAGAACCTCTTTCATGACATAAGTGAGGGTGTGCATAGAGTTCTAAGATTTGGAGACACCTTTGTTTAAGTTTTTACAGTCTTTCTAATAGTTTTAAAACAATAAGGTTGGACAGGACCTCCATATCAATATCTACTGGAAACAGAAACAGATGACTTTATTATCTTATTAAAAATTAGAATGCTATAGCAATTACATCTCAGAGCAGAATTCAGACAAAACAGTATGAACTTACATTATTCAAATGGTTCTCGTTAACTTATAAATACAAAGTGTCAGGATAAATACGTTGGTTTAGTTTGGTCTGAGAATAGACCCGTAATCATCTTTTTAGTTTTAGTAATAGTTTTACGGCACTTGAAACACAATAAGGTCATATAAGTGCTGAACATTAGAGGTGTTACAAGAGAGTAAGAAACACACACACAAAAAAAGGAGAGATCAGGACGATAAATGTTTGGTACGAAAGAAGGAGCAAAACCACACCAGAGCATCCCCCAACCACCCACCCAGTAACCGTCAATCAGCACAGTTAAAAAAAAGCAAGATATTCAGAAAGAAACAAGAAAGGAGAGAAAAGAAAGAGGACACTCATATGGCACCCTCAAATCATCCGTAAGCCTGACAATAACCACACTTTATCAAGGAAAGATCTGGACAAAAGAAAAAACCCTCACTCCAATTTGGTTGATCCCTGTGGGGAATTTTAGATGAAAATGGGGAAACAATGTGCACATAAACTAATTCAAAAGTGACAACACGTGCACATAAAATCACAAAACAGACAACACAAGCATGTTATTGTTGGCTGCCACAACATATTGCTCAACATTATTTGTGAGCCAGAGCTCACCACCCACTAGATGACTGGGGCCAAAACAAAGATAAGAAAAAGCAATATACAGTAGCTCTCACCAACCACCTGCCTTTTTAAAAAAAAGTATTTTTATTATGTCACAGGAACGTCTTGTACCCACAAACATACCTGTTTTGTTTGTCTTAGTAAGTGTTTTACGGCACTTGCAACACAGTAACGTTATATAAGTGCCGAAGATTAGAGGTGTAACAAGAGAGTAAAAAACACAAAAAAGGAGGGGAGATAGAGACAATAGATTTTTTACAGGAAAGAAGGAGCAAACCACATCAGGACATCCGCCAACCACCCACACAAACATACCTGAAGGCGGTCCAAAGGTGAGGAGCACGATGACAGCGTGCACCACCAAGATGTGCACTGTGGCTGATTGACCCGAGTCCCACTCCAGTCGGATCTGGTCTTGGGTGTTGGACTGCAGAAACAGACCAGAGAGAGGGAAATGTGAGTTTGTATGAGTAAAGAAAGGCACATTGTCGTAATAACAGTCACTGAGCTGAAGGAAAGAGTAAGACAGGCAGAAACAACTCAGTGAAAGAAAAGAAAAAAACCCAATTAGTGGGGCCCTCCAAACACCTATCGGGAGATGTGAGAAAGTTTTACCTGATAACAATTGTCTAAAGATTTGTTGGTGTTTTTTTAATGTGATTTTTATCAGCACACAAGCACTTGAATAGTACATCCAACAAGCCAGCATAATAATGGCCACTTTTGCCTGAACAGATAAGAACAAAAATCACCCTGAAAAGACAAACAAGATAAAGAGTAACATGGATGGACAACATTAAAACATGGGCTGGCTTAGGTATAGTAGAATAAGCTACGGCAGCTCGCGACCGTGAAGGATAGAGGTTTAATACGTGTCAGAGATGACACCTCGAGTTATCCAGGTATGTGATAAGGCTCTCAATTTCCTGATTGCCAAATCCGGGACAGTCCCTGGAAAATCGGGACAGTTGGCAAGTTCGCACACTCACCCAGCTGAAAGTGTCCTTGTCCTCTTTGCGGGCCACCCTCATGTACAGGACAAACATGCGGACAAAGGCGTTGAGCACCTCCTGCTGCTTCGGATCCTTCTCCATGGGCGTGGTGGCCAGCTCTGGCAGGATGAACTTCACCACCGGCGTCCTCTCCACCAGGAGCTGAGCGATGTCCTGAGGAGGGAAAGACAAAGGTCAACAAATCAACAAGTTTTAGCAATGCTGCTGCCAGCTATATCAGATGGGCCTGGAGAAGCACAAGGGTCAAAACTTTGAGCCGTTTTAACGAAAAAGAAATTGCAGTAATTTGTGGTTGAAAAAAAGGTACATGTCTCGAAACTATTCCCCTGATATATGCAATTTCACAAGATCATGTCAGTATGTTAGTGTTTTAGTGCCTGTAAAATGGCTGCTTGCACTGTATGCTTCCGAGGAAGTTGAGATTGTTTCAGAATGCTATCAAGTCTCTCTCTCTCTCTCTCCCTTGCCCTTTTAAACTCCCAATGGAGCATAGGCCATCAACAACATTTCCCCAGCGAAGCTCGGGTGATAATATAGATTGTGAGTTTGCACTATACGAATGGTGTTTATAATTCATTATTTTAACATCCCCCCAAAGACAGGAACTAACATTTGCGTGTCTCAGTGAGAAAAGCCTCATGCATCTCCTACACAGAGCATACTGAATTAAAAGAATTCATCACATTCAATTTTTGCTATTGTTTCTTAAAGAGCATGCATTGTTGTTCATACCAAGACCAGCTCATTCCATCCTTGCGAATCGTCCAGCGCATGTTGAGCTAAGAAAAGTATGTAAGAACGAATTTTCTCAGGGTCTGTTTCCACCTGGCAGGCCTGCGGAGGGAAAACAAAGGTTTTTGATATATTTGAAGTTATTCACTGGAAAATAACAGGGCACTGCACAGTGGCGACCAGCAATGGCATGTTTGTGAAATTGTTCTCCATTGGTGTGATATTGTGTACTTACGTATGTATTTGTGTGTGTATTTATGTACGTATTTATAATCAGGCGAAGATGTTTGCCATTGTAACCCAAACTGCCCTACAGGGATCAATGAACTTGTTTTATTTATTTATAAATAACAGCATTAGAAAGCACTGCCGTCACAATTGAAAACAATATGCCTGCAATACTGTTTTAAATTTCAAGTCCTGTGATGAAGGTGAATGTGGCCCATTAGGCCAATGTGTGTCAGAAAATATTCATTGCAGTGAGTACCAAAAAAATACAAATCATCAATGTTCTGGGCTCTGATCTGAAACCCAGGAATAAAAAGGTGAACTAAAATGGCTACAAAAAGGACATTCACTATGATGATCATAACTACAAACACTTATAATGAACAGTCCAGAGTGACTGCCAGAGGGACAGAAATATTTTCCAGGGACCTTGACAAAAACCTTCCAAAAAGAATGTCACACAACGAGATCACTGACCTTCCTGAGAGCCAGACACAAGGAGTCCTTGACCTCGTGGAACAGCGGTAGTGAGGGCAAGTAGATGAGCAGCCAGTCGTCAGACGACTGGGAGTCTGTGTCTACCTCCATTGACTCATCTGTCTTGGCAGGTCCCACAACCAGCGACAGGCCCTGTAAAGAGATCATAGTGATAATAATGTAGATCACGATTATATAGCACTCTCTTCCAGGTAGGCATAAACTCCGAGTGCTTCACATCGATCACATGATTACTGAGAAAATTCATTTCATATAAATGAGATAACCAGTCTAACCACCTAAAGAAAAATTTCTCAGCCATACAAATAAGGATAGTAGTGAAAATGAGACAAATCAGGACCTGCTAACACAAGCCAAATTCAACTTAAACAAATGTGAGGCATCATGGCGAAATCAGGCGCTCGTCAAAATAATGAAATCCAAGACATCAGCATTTTTCGGCAAGTCTGGAAATTTATTTATTTATTTTTTTTGGGCTCAACACCTTTATGCCCATTCAAAAACACTTTATGGGTGGATTTTATAGAAAAACTTTGATTAAAGGCACAACAAATTTAAATTTGCAGTTTCCAAGGACTCTTAAGCTATGGAAATTACCAAACTTTGGCTGCCATTATCCCGCTAATTTGACTTCTGAAACCAGGCGACCCCACCTCCTTCAATCGCAAATATCTCGACTTCTATTCAAGATAAATGGATAGTTTTTTTATCGAAAGCAAGGCAAATGAATAACCTTTAAGATGATACCAATAACTCCATATGCCTAAAACTTGACGAGCATCCAATTCAACTCCGTTGTAACACAAATGAGTATTAAGTAACAAATAACTTGGATAAATAAATTATAATAATTAAAATAATTTTGATCCCTTTTTATAGTATATTTTCACTTGAAGACTACAATGCATCTCAATACAAACCGTACAGACAAGCCATTTTGATGGTGATCTGCTCCAACTGTTGAAACTGCGAGAGACATTTTTATTCTAAAACCATTGGTGAGATCATTATGCAGGTCTTTTATAGAATCAGGAGTCAGCACACACTAAAAAGAGTATAAAAGTACTCTGGGCTATCTTTCGTGTTGATTCTCAATGTTTAAGGCAGAAAATCTTCAAGAAAGAAGTTACATGGTTGAAGCATAACACCATAAATATTTATCAATGACAACACAGATAAAAAAGAGAACACTTCACTGTCTTGGACCAAAAAGACCTGTACTTTTCCACTGACCTTAACTGCCTGCTGTCTGGTCATGGCTTGTGTGGAGGCCAGCCGCTGCAGGAAATAGTCGAGGACTTCTTTCATCGTCTTTGACTCGGCTGATGGGTTGTGCACCAGATCTTGCAGGCGGGACAGAAGTTGCTGGTGCTTGGTGTTCTTCTGATCAACACAAACACAAGCAAAAGCGTTCAATAAATAGACACCCATAAAAATGCAAACGAGACTGATAAACAGGTTGGAAATTGTTTAATTATATGCACAGCCCTAACAATGACTGGTTCTGTCGGAATTCATATAAATAAATTAGTAAATAACATGTATGGCATTATTCCACTTTGTACAATTCTACTCTATAACTGATAACCACTTTGTCTACCTGCTAAGGCCTTTCAAAACTTTATGCTCCCGCTTACATTCTGAAATATTATGGAGGTCAGACTAGGACAGGGATTGATTTTTACTGTTGAGAAGCAGTTTATGACCAGTCTGCATAGTGCAGTCGACTACAGATGAGTTGATGTCATCGGGGGAGTGAAAAAAAGATCGACTCATCCTAAGCTTGACTTAACAATTGGGATCTGTAAAGAAGAAGAGGTGCAAGTTGCAAGGACCTGACAAAAGATCAACTTAACAGAAGATCAACTCAAGTGGGTTCAACACAAGCAGAGTCGACTGTATATTTTTCAGGACAAATGACCATAATAGAGACACAGAAAGGAAGTCGAAGAAGCAGGTCTCAGCACAGCATCAACCAGCATACTGCATTGGGAAAGGGGATTGAGGCTCCATGTTGTGGGATGCTACAAAAGAAAGCATACTCTTTGAAAAGAAAAAAAAGCAAGCAAATATAAAACTCGCACTTACATGCTTGCGCTTGGCTCCAAATATGTCATCCACGTCAGAATCAAGAGCGACGTCTGTCGGCTCATGTAGCAGGAACTCACACAGGCACTGGACTGGGAGAACATCCAAGGAACCCTCACTAGACTCCACCAGCTCTGCCAGCCACGGCATAGACTGGGACGTGCCCTGACAAAGGATTGCAAAGGTCTCATTAAAAGTGCATTAAATAAAGGCTACCTTAGCTTCCCTGTTGTCTTTGTGATTGTGGGCAATCAGTGTTAACATTTTTGATAGGTAACAAAGCAAATGCTTGAGTCCTGTCCTGAACAATAAAAGAGATGAAGAAAAAGAAAAGCAAACAAAGTTCTTCAGCAGAAAAACAATGACAAATGCTATGAAATAAATAACATTTGCCAAACAAACGTGGAGTCTCCACATGAGGCAGATCCATTATTAAAACTTTAGATACTTACTTCAGGGGATACATTCAAATCAGCAACCTCAGTTCAAAAGTGGGAAGGAATCTTATTTTCTCTCAAAACATGAATCAGCACCAATATAGTCAGAAGACTTGAATTCCTCTATCTCGCTGGCCCATCATGTCTACAAAGTGGGACATAATCTGTCGGAAACCCCCCCCCCCAAAAAAAAATAAAAACAACCCAAAACAAAACAAAAACAAAACATCAAGTTTACTGACTCTGGAATATTTTGGAGGAACAGGAGCCATATCTTCACTTACTTGTCTGTTGATGATACGCAGCAGGAAGTCTGGGTTGCGACTCCGGCATAACATCTGACCCAGTTTGAGATCATTGTTCAGAGACTTGAGTTGTTCAGTGATCTCCTGGGGAGGGAATCTGGCAGGGCCCCTGGAATATCCAAAAGAGAAGAGATAAAGTGTCCCATTTCAAAACACTGCATTAATTGCATCAAAAACCAAAAAGATTATTCCAACTTGCTCTCAGGAAACAAATGGTTTATCTATAAAAAACATTTGGTAGTTGACGTTGAAGATGACTGACAGTTTACGGAAGGCATACAGGAAAACAGTTATAATTCGCAAGGCATTCATTTCATGGTCAAAAAAGAAAAGAAAGAAAAGAAAAAGTTTAATTGGTAATTAAAATAAAGAAACACAAAAAATAAGTGTTCAAAAGCAAACAAAATAGACAACATGATCTTACATGGGGTCATTGTGGTTAAGCTGTCCAATGAGAAGACTGGTGCTCTCTGTGATGGTCATCTTGCTGGTGGCTGCGGCCAAGTGGGTTTCAAACTCAAGAATTTGTTGGATCTCCTGCTGCCGAATCTGATAAGATAAAAAGTTTTTTTCTAGACTCACATTCGAATGACTTTTGAAGATTGGTAAATTATCAATACTGTTGACTCTCTCTCACACACACACACACACACTCATACTCTCTTATGTGCACACACACACACACAGAAGTAACTAAGTAGTGAGCATAAGGAACATATCACAACTGAAATACAAAAAGATACAAAAAATAAGTAATAAATCTTAACAAAATCTGCTTCCGTACAACTACATCTAAAAACAACAAGTAACTTTACTCCATATCTCAAAGTCACCCATGTCATCTACACTGACATGTGACTTTCAGATTAACCTTCAGGGAGACTGACCTGCCTTTCTCTGGCTCTGAACTCTTCGGCCATTTTTTCATCTGAGGCCGTTGTTGGCGGAGGGAAATTGTAGTTACTGGGGAGCCACATGAGAACAACAAATTAATGCCACATTGATCATAAACATTTTCTTTGACAGATGATGATGAATTAGACCCCTTTTAACCCTTTTAGGCTGTGACAAGAATAAATAATTTTTCATATCACAATAAGAAAAGTAAACATAAAAAAGAAGCTAGTTCCCTCAACTGACAATGAAAAGTAAAAAGCCTTTATCTTGTGACAGAAAAAAAATCAATTTTCTTAAAAGACTGAAAAGTAACAATCTATTTTCTTCAAGGACCTTGATAAGCAATAACCCTTTTTCAAAAAAGATTGTGACAAGCAAACTTTTCTTAACAAACTGTAAAAACCTTTCACTATAACAGATTGTGATATGTAGCAAATTTTGTCCTTGTTCAAAGTCCAATAAAATAACACTGATCCATTTGCAACATAATAATCCTCTCTCCTTTGACAAGTATGGAGCAGAAACACCAGATTAAGAAAATACTAACATAGAAGATAAACAAATAAATGAAGTAGACCACATGACAGAATCTATAACATCGAATGAATGGAGACAAAATTTGCCTTTATATGGGCATGTGGCAGTTCAGTATAATTATGTTGCTTTGATTTAATTTCAAAAGATAAAAATATGACAGTAGTGAAATCAAAACTAATCTGATCAAGCAGCGTAAAAAAATATCCAAACTTACTTTGTCATAACCATTTCCATGAGGAACTGTAATGTTGGGTACTTTTGCCATGCAGTTTCACCTGTACAAAACAAGGACCAAAATGTTGAATGAACTCAAAGTGTACAAGAAGAAGTGAAGATTTAATATGTACACCCACTGGTGCATCCAATGTGAGTTGTATAAATATATCAAATCTCTCAGCAAGCATTTTCCAGCTTCCACAAATAATAAGCACTTCAGCAAAATGCCTCTATTAGACCTGCATGCAAGCCTCAACCAGATTGTCTGAAAATTTTGCGCACCTCCCCCCCCTTTCCTGCTTTCCACTCGTGTTCTGTCGTCTGCTGTCGTCTCCAATTTATGCCCCCCCCCCTTTCCCCCTCCTGCTCCCCTTCAATCGCAGATATCTTCACTTCTATTCTAAATATGTTGGTATTATTTTCACCTAAAGCAAATTAAATGAACACATTTCAGATGGGAACGATAACTCCAATTGCCCTAAAACTGACCAGCGCCTGATTCCACCGCGTGGTGATTCAATTAGTGAACTGATGATGGCAGAGTGTGTGTCTGAGTCAGTCACCACGGCCTCGTCTAGAGCATCCGGGACACAGGCCTAGCGATATAAATACACGTGGCCTACTTTCCGATATAAAGGGCAACGCAACACAGTTTTACTATTCCTCTCAAGGGTGCCAAGCAAGTGCCACATACGGATGGCGTCTTTCTTTTTATTTTCTCCTTTTTTTCTTTCTTTTTTTCTTTCTTACTTTCTATTTTTCAAACATACTATTTCTTCTTCCTGGGTCTATTTTGTTCTGATCCACTTGAACAGAATTTGCGATCTTGTATAATAAAACAACAACACCAACAACAAAAATCATATTCATCCAGTATTTTTTGTCTTTCTGCTAGGGCGTTATATAGTTTCCACCTGATGTCTCAAACTTGAGACCTGCGGATCCACGACGAAGCCTGGAGGGCGATATTTTGCGGCCACTACTTGACATCAAAGTATTGTGTTAACCATACTGGGGGTCTCATCTGCTTCCTCCCCTAGATGCTCTGAGTTCCTCCCTCAAGCTAATAAATGTGTTTGAGCTAGGCTATGTAATACAAAGCGCTGCAAGGTTTCTGGCAGCAAGGTGTGGGCAAGAGAAGCCTGCGCCTTAAAACACTTTTCATGTTGTGAACTGCTATTAATAATGATAGAATAGATTTTAACTGTTGTGCTTGGCAAATAAAGCAACCAAAAAAAAAAACAATTAAAAATCAACAACATTTTGAAACCTTTATACCCCCCTCCCCCCCAACCAAAAAAAAATACAAAATAAAAATTGAATACTTTATGAGACCAAGGCTCACCCAGACTTTACTTTCAACA